TAATTTGGAACTTAATCGGGTTCTTGTATACTGTTCTCCAGCCAGATGTTAAACAGAGAGTGTAAACCAGACAAAGCAATCAAAAAGAACATGTTATACCCTCTAGATTTTTACTGGCAATTTTTACTCTCAGTATTTTCATGGAGAATTTCTTGATACGTGTTAGTGGGTTTTAAAAGCTGAACTCTTTGTCTGCTTATGAGCTGAAGGACTTAGTGGGAAAAGCAACAAGAGACTTTTACAAATACAACACCCAATCTAGAATATCAGCCAAACCAATGCCTAACAGTCAGCATGGATCCAACCCTCCTGAGTGCTCTGCCATCCCTGGGCAGCTCTGAAAGCCTCTAGAAGTAAGGAAAACCTAACTAGAGATAGAAGATGCTATTTTCTGGAACTTTCAAGGAGGGCTTTGCAAATAGTTGGAAGTTCCCCTAAGAGACTTATGGTAGCCATGGTAACAAGAAAGATGCTTGAGTGACTGAAGGTGGTCACCAAAATGCTTTCCAAGGTGGGTTCTGGTAAGCATTTTGCTTTTATTTTGCTGAGTCCCAAGCAGAGGTGAAACACCCAGACCAACAGAGGGATCCTTGCGCCTAGAGGTCTTCCTCCCTCCCCTGTGCCCGCACAATTTCTCCTCTAAAGAGTGAGGAGCAAATATTAGAAGAACACAGAGCATCTGCAGGCCTCAGCTTGCCCCCATCAAGCAACCAGGCATTTTCAAAATAAACAGCACAAGGGGACCTAAGTTCTAAAACCTCAAAATATGGTAAAGCATGTAGAACTCTTCCATAAACAGTCATCCTCCTCATCGCTCCTCTTTTAGTTATTCTCCTCTGTGTTTCTGGATCCTGCTAACCAGCTCAGCAGGATGAAGCACGACTCAGAACAGAGACTGAAGGCAGGGCAGAGGGCAGGACAGTGGAGATGTTGGTCCCCCGGATGAAGGCTAAGAGAGGGTCAAGGAGCAGGGCCCTGGGAAATCCATGCAGGGGGAGCAAAGGAAACAGGTGCTTGCCCACCCAACTTATTTTTTGAAGACACAACCTATCAGCCTGGAGCTGTTTCTGTTTGCTGTAAAATTCTAATTTGCTTATGAAAAGGAGAGGGACTGGGGAGGGGGTGCGGAGAGGGAGAGAAAGGATCCAGGCAGCTTCGTGAGATGGCACAACTAGCAAACAAACCCAGGTTTCTGACCCCCATCATGAAAGCAGAATGAGCGGCAGCTATTCTACTTACCCTCAGGTTTTCTGGGACCAGATGACAGCCCACGGTCAGGGCTAGAACATCTGAGAAGGAACACGGCAATGAGTGGGGATCTGGAAATTCCACACCACGGGGGAGGCTTAAGGACAGTCAGCACCTCTCTCAGGCAGTGGGCTAGTGGCTTTCATAGTTCATTTCATCCGATTTGAGTAGTAATTTTACAAAGTAAGCAAAACTATCCCAATTTCACCAAGGAAAAACCTGAGGCTCACAGCATTTAAGAACTGTGTTCAGCCAGATGTGGTGGTGCATGCCTATAATCCTAGCACTCTGGGAGGCTAAAGCAGGTGAACTGCATATCTGAGCCTGGTCTGGACAACTTGGTGACTTAACAAGACCTTGTCTCACAATTTAAAAAAAGTTAAAAAGGGTTGGAAATGTGGCTCAGTGTGAGGGGTCTGGGTTTAGTCTCCAGTGTGTACGTGTGTAGGGGCGGGAGAATGGAGGAAAAAAAAAAGATAGGAAACAAGGTTTCCTATCAAGGTTACAGCGTTTGTAAGGGCCTGAGCTGGAGTCAAATCTGCATTTGTCTCAATTCTTTATTTTTATTTTTATTTTATTTTGGTTTTTTTGAGACCAGGTTTCACTATGCAGTTCAGGCTGGCTTGAACTCACTTTGGAGGCCAGGCTGGTCTAGAACTCACAGTGATCCTCCTGCCTCAGCCCTGAGTGTTGGGATTACAGCTGTGCACCACCACATCTGGTCTTATTTGCATTTGTCTCAATTCAACAGCCATGCTTTTTCAGAGGTAGACAACCACAGCCTTGGAGGAAGAAAGCCACGGGCCTTAACATCAGAAGAGGGTTCTGGGTTGAGTCTCACTCAACTCTTCCTCACTGGACCAAGTTACCTAATCTCCCATGGGAATGCTGATGAAGCGATCAACATGCATGCGGAAGACATGGGAGTGTGCTAGGGCAAAGACTGCCAAAATGTCAATCTCATTATAATAAACCTGAGGGCTCACAGAGAATGGGTCAGGGCAGTAAGGAAGGTGAAAGAGGCAGAGCTGGGTGCCCTTGATTGGGCCCATGGGCTGAAGGCCCTGACCAGGATGGGTGGCCTCAAGGGAACAATGGGGCCTGAAGTCAGGGTCATAGCAGGGACCCAGCAATAAAGGGTTTGCTTCTCCAGCCATCCAGGGAAGTGAAACAAAAAATTATCACTGCCCCAGAGTGTGGAAGAGAAATTAGCCATAAAACACTAGACCGGGGGAGAAATGGAGTCAGTTACATTGAAGAAGGAGATAGCTAGGAGGGCTTAGAAGAGAAGAAATGAAGCCTCATCAAATTAAAGAAAAAAGTGCTTAGAACAGACAGACATGCACAGCTTATTTTATAGGGCACACAGCTGATGCCCTGGTTTAGCAGGAAAATAACTGGATAATAATGGAAGAGCGTTTTGGAAAAGAAGAACAAAGTTCCTGCCAATTTAAAACTTACTGCAAAGCAACAGTAATAAAGACAACATAGTATTAACTAAAGCCTAGAGATACAGCTCAATGGAAAAGAACTGAGAGTCCAGAAAAAAATCCTTGTATGTATAGTCAAGTGATTTTGAATAAAGAATATTCTCTTCAACAACTGGTAGCAGGACACCTGAACAGCCACATGAAGAATGAAGCTAATCTCTACCTCACACCTATACAAAACTAACTCAAAATGGATCAAAGATCTGAACTAAAGCACTAATATTATAAAACTCTTAGAAGAAAACTCAAGGGTGAATCTTTATGTCTTAGGATTTGGCAATGGATCCTGAGATATGATACCAAAAGTATAAGCAACAAAAGAAAAAATAGGGAGTTAGGCTTCCTCATAATTCAAATTTTTATAAATCAAAAGATATTATCAAAGAAGTAAAAAGACAACAGAATGGAAGGAGAAAATCTTTGCAAATTGTATATCTAATAAGAGTCTAGTATCCAGAATATATTGTCATGGATACATAAAGAAGCTTTGGTCAATGAAAAGACTGCATACATGATGGGAGCCCCATAAGATTATATCCTCTAGTAATGTCATAGCCATCTTAGTTTGTGTAAGTTCACTCTGTGATATTTGTGCAGTGATTAAATCACCCAATAACAGAATGTGTCCATGCTGCTAATCAACACAAAACTGTATAAAGAACTCTTACAATCAAACAAGGAAAAGATAGACAACCCAATGTAAAAGCAGGCAAAGGACTTGAAGAGATACATCTACAAATAAGGTATAACAATGGCCGATATGCACATGAAAAGAAGTCGATCATCAGTCCTTTAAGAAACGCAAATCAAAATCAAAATGATGTACCACAAGCATACAGCCTGGAATAGCTATAATTTAAAACAAGGGAGTGTAGGAAATTGGTTAATTTTACATTATGTGAATTTCACCTCATTAAAAAATGGAAACTACACCAATGGTGAGCAAACACAAGCAGAAGGCACAGGGGAAGAAACAGCAAAGTGGAAAGGAAGAGCACTAAGCTCCATTCTGGTTACACTTCAGAGGTCATCTCTAGCAGTCGGCACAACAGACGCCATTTTGCAGATAAGGAAATGGAGTCTCGAGACCATTAAGAATCAACTCACTGCTAATAACCAGCGGGGTTGGGATGGGGGCTTCTCAACAAATTACCAAAATAACAGCAACCAAGATTATGACTTGAAGGAATAGCACATTTTCAGATGCACTGGAAACTGGACCCTTGGTTTTATGGTACTTTTACAGCGTGATAACACATAAAAACCTGTGATAAAACTTTATGTCTGTGAAGCCAGGGACACAAAGCATTGGCCTGTACTGAGAATAATGCAGGACAGGTGCTGCACAGACTTTTAATGCTGGGCCAACTCTGCGTTACTCTTTCTCTGACCCAAAGTCAGACACCAAAGACACTTGGCAGCCCTGTGTGTCCTGACCTAGGGCACAAACTAATGTGGACAACTGGCCTCAGGAAGGATTCAGAGGTTATTTGACCTGAGTAGGTTCAAACACACCTCCACTAGCCAGATGACTCACCTAGGGAGCTTGTTAAATGCAGATTCCTGGGCCCCCCTCCAGACCTCTGGGGGTAGAGCCTAGAAACGAGAATTTTTTTAAGAATGCCCCAAGGGAAACCCTTTATATAATGTTTGTGGGAATGTAAAATGGAACAGCCATTTGGGGGAACAGTTTGTTTCCTAAAAAATGAAACAGAGTTATTAGCATATGACCTAGTAATTCCACTCCTAGGTATATACCCAAGGGAAATGAAAACACATGTCCTCACAAAAATTTGTACATGAATATTCCTAGCAGCATTATCCATGACTTTCTAATTCCATCAAGGGGGCCAAACATCCATCGGCTGATGAACAGGCAGATAAAATGTGGGGTATCTGCACCACGGCATACTATGGAGCAATAAGACAAATGAATTGCTGATGCGTACTCCAACATTAACGAACCACAAACACATTATATTAAATAAAAAAAGCCAGATGCAGTAGACCGACTACATATTGCATAATTTCATTTATATAAAATTTCCAGAAGAGGTAAATCTGTGGAAACATATGTAGATTACTTGTGGCCTGGGACAGGGGTGGGAATGCGAAATAACAAGACATGGGGGACATTCCTGGCACAATGAAAATGTTCTAAAACTCATCTGTGGTGACAGCTGTACTAGACTTTTCTGAAAATCATTGACTCGGACACTTGAAATAGGTCGATTTTATGATAGGTAAAATATGCCTTTGTAGAGATGCTGCTTCTGAAGTCTGCGGATGATTCTGAGGTACCGGAAGATTTGGGAATCACTGAACTCCAATGTACTTATTTCCTAATGAGAAAACTGAAGCCCAGAGAGGGAAATGGTTCAGCTGGGGTCACAAAGTGAGTTGACACACAGCCAGGACACCTCTGGTGTGCGTCTCTGCAAAAGACAGAGAAGTGCTGCAAGATGACCTGCTGAAATGCACCAACTGGAGTCGCCAATCTCGGTGAGTCAGTGCCCATTAATCCCTTTTTTCCCTTAAACAGCAGGAAGCGGGCTTGTTTTGCTTCAGTGATCCAGGAAGGAGGCTCAGGAAGCAGCTGTAGGGCAGCGAAAGGCCCGTGGGCTTGCTGGAGTCAGGAGGGCTGAGTTCAAACATGGCCCTGAGAGTTCATTGTGACCCTGAGCTGGCTACTTCACCTCCCACAGCCTCATCTCGTCCATTCATCTGTAAACAGAGTGGAGGACATCACGCTCCCAAGATCACGGGGCAACCAGTAAGGGATACACTGAGTAATCCAGATGAGTTCCATCCTGCCTGACCTGAAACCACAGACAGCCAGCTCCATCTGTTTATCTACAGGCCACAACTACAGTATCCCTTCCCACCGGTGGGACACACAGCCCCTGCCCCAGGCACTGCTCGACCACCTCAGTCCGGCCCCAATCCCAGTTGGACCCACATTCCCAAGTGTCATAAAACTCTGGAAAGGTGGAAGCTGCAGTATATTTTTTTCACAGATATGAAAGCTCTGGACCAAGAACAATATGTATTTACAAAAACAACAACCTTCCAAGTGGCCACCAATGTATCAAATGCTGGCTTGGGTGTGGTGTTATTATAAGACCAAGAGAATGTAAAACATCCTGTAATATATCACAGTAGAACATCTTTGCCAAGGGAAAGAAATCTGCCTTCTATCTAAGAGGAATGTTTGGTAATTGTTTGGGCCTTGGATAAACTCAGGACATACATTGCAGGCCAGGCGTTTACATTACAGACTAATTACTGAGCCCCTGATATGAATACAGACATTGTGGGGCACAAGAAGAATGCATTCTGGGGACGGTCACAGCAGCTTCTACCCTCACACAGAGCATGTGGCCTCTGTCAGGATGAGGAAGGTTTAGACCAAGATGTTCTCATAGAAGGAAAAGTGTAAACACCATATTGACCCCACCTCAGTGAGTTCTGAGCTCTGAGCAGGTGATGTTGCATATTAAGGTCAATGTGGCAGGAGAGAAGGTGAAAGGGAAATAACTCTCTGTGCTTTAGCAGATGAAACAGAAACCACTGTGTTTGCTTTATTACATGAAACAGAAATCATTCTGTTTGCTTTATTAGATGAAACAGAAACCCGACTTCTCCAAGGAACCTGTTTGTGTGCTTCGAAGTTAGCTCCTGGAAACTGTGCTCCAAGCGGGCTAACAGGTGTCCCCTGGGAAAGGTCATGTGGGGACCAACAAGACAGAAGCAACAGAAGCTCTCCACCCAAGACGAAAGAGCACACTTGGGCTGGGAGAAGGAGAACTGAACTAGAGTGTTCACTTCTGAGAGGTGCACAAGGCTAATGAGATACAGAAATTTAAGCAGCAACAGGAGACAAGTGAGAACACAGGAGACAGAAGAAAGACTGAGATCAAAAAAATACAAAGAACATCAGAACAAGAGTAGAGAAGACACATCTAAAACAAGAACATAAATACATAGTCCAACTATAGCAAATGCCTCCTGCTCCTGGATTTATGGTGGCCTCAGTTACCCCCACCACCTATTCCAGGAGGCACCAGGAAGGACTGTGTTCCATGTACACTGCCCAGGACTTCAGATAAAAAAGTAGATCTTTCTGGTTAAACAGAGACAACAGACTATCTGCTTTTACTTCTCCTTCTCCAACCTCTACAACTGAATAGTTAAGGAATTAAGTATTTTTAACAGACAGGGAAAAAAAGGGGGAAAAAGGGAGAAAAAAGGTTATACATGGAAATAAAAAGATTTTGGCAAGCCTGGGGAAATGGGTGCAAGAGACAGAAAAGAGCAGATGCTGCAAACTTAGTACCCACCCTGTAGGGTCCTGTTGAAACCAACACGGGGAGCTCTGTCCTGGTGGAACAGCTGCCATGAACGATGGAGCTTAAGTTCATAATGGAAAACAGTGATGGCACCCACAGTGTACAGCTAGACCACCGTGTATCCCCTCTCCAGCAGGTACAAAGTCTATTCTCTGGAGATACTGAGGAGGGGCTGCAGCTGCAGGAAGCAGGCACAAGGAGAGCAGAGAAGGGTGAAGGGCACTCAGCATACCAGCCACACGTAGACCTCCCCAGGCAGGGGACTAAAAGATTCTCCCGAGAAAGTGAACAGCCTCAGGATAAAGACAACCACACACTGCCATTTGCATGGGGGATTGCCACTAAAGGGGCTGCTCAAAATCTGTCCTCCGTATAACAACAAAGAAGAAACAACTGCCACACGTGAGCATGTGAGAGAGCAGAACTTTCAGTCTGGATTTTAGTGCCTGCATGAAAAAGTATTAATGTTCACTAGAGTTTGGAAGACCTTTGGGTAAGGCCTCTGATAGAGGCAAAACAAGAGTCAAAACAAGCTCCAAAATATCCTGGAAGTGGAGAGAGAAGAAGGGAAAATAAAAAGAATTTTAAAATGGTATTCTTAGTAAGGAGGTTAAGGTAGTGCATTCATGAAACAAGAACAGGATGCGATGACAAGAAATGATGGGAAACAAGAAAGAATTTTTGGAAATCATATAATCATAAAAATTAAGAGTTCAACAGAGAACAGAGAAAATGGTTGAGCAATTTCCACAGACAGTAGAATCAAAAAGAAAATTAGTAAATAGGAAAGACAGTAAAATTTGAGGTGGTATCCAAAAAGGAATTTCAGAAATAAAGATCAGAAAAAACACAAAAGAGGAAGTTATTAAAGAGATATTAAAAGAAACCATCCAAGATGAAGTTCTAGTTTGAAAGGTATGCACAGGTCCCATTGGATACAAGAAGGTTCACCCTAAAGCACCTCATTGTGGAGTATGAAGATGCTAGAGATAGAGAGGACCCTATAAGCATCAAGAGGAAAAATTCATGTCACACTCAAAGCAATTACAATTTTATTTATTTATTTATTTAGTCTCCTTGAGACAGGGTCTCACTAAGCAGTTCAGACTGGCCTTGAGCTCACTTTGTAGCCCAGGCTGGTCTCTAACTCTCAATGATCCTCCTGCCTCAGCCTCCTGAGTGCTGGGATTACAGGCGTGCACCACCACACCTGGTAGCAATTAGAATTAAAATGACCTTGGTCTTATGCCATTATTCAAGCAGAAGACTGGAACAGAGTGACAAAATTCAGAATTCTAAGACACAAATGATTTCCAACATTGATTTCTAAAATAAGTTTGATTGGCGCTGGGGATTTAGCTCAGCGGCAAAAAGCGCCTGCCTGGCATGCGCAAGGTCGTGAGTTCGGTTCCCGGTACCGGAGAAAAACCAAAAAAAAAATAAATAAATAAAATAAAATAAGTTTGATTATAATCAAGTGAGAGATGCAGTACATGCCATTGTTAGATATGCTAATGCTAACAACACTTCCCTTCCGTATTTCTCCAGGAAGTCACTGGAAGATCTGCTTCAGTCAAACAAGAGAATGAATCAAGAAAGCAGATGAACCAAGATGTGGCAATGAGGGGTTATCACAAAGCTGCCTCAGCCTGCAAAACACCCAGAAGAGCAGTGGGATGGAGGACTCACAAGAGAAGGTCTCCAAGATGCAAAATGTAAGTCGGAAGTATTTGATGTGTCTGAGCACCTGATCACTGCCAAAGAGATACTGTAGTGGTTAATTTTGTGTCTACTCGACTGGGTCACAGGGTGCCCAGTTATTTGGTCAAATATTATTCTGCATTATCTTTAAAGGTGTTTCTCATGAGATCACCATCTGAATTGCTAAACTGAGCAAAACTGATTGTCTTCCCCAGTGGATGGGCCTTGTCCAATCAGCTGAAGGTCCACAGAGCAAAACAGCTGAACTTCCCTTGAGTTAGACAGAAGTCCACGTATCTGATGGTTTAAGTTGCGATACTGATCTTTTCCTGCCTCCAGACTTGACATGACATCAGCTTCTCCAGAGTCTCTGGACTGAAACTTACACCTTGAGTGCTCCTGGATCTCAGTCCTTTGGACTTGGCCTGAAACTATACCATTAGCTCTCCTGGGTCTCCTGCTTGGGACTTCTTGGCCTCCACAAACATGTGAGCCAACTTCTAATAAATCTTCTTCTCCATATGTACATATTCTTGATTCTGTTTCTCTGGAGGACCTTGACTAATACAGATAGACTGAATTACTTAGAAAGAAATGTGATAACGTATGAAAGAACTGTAGTGAACAGTACTTTCATAGTTATAATAATGTAAACAACGACTATTTAAAAGTTCAGTTATAGCTACATAAGGATGGCTGGGGAAGGGAAGAGAGGCTGGAGAACTGGTTCATGTAAGAGTATTAAATACAGTTATTTTACAAACAGCCAAGAAAGAATATCGAAAATGGATAATTCACGTTGTCTAGAAATATGGAGGGAAATGCCAGAAGAAACAGCTCAAGGAGTAGAAGACAGTTGCCTCTGGGGAGGGGGATGGAATGTGGGGGGAATCCTGGTTTTCATTATAAGCCTTTTAGGACTATTGGATTTTTAAATTATATGCATGTGTTCATAAATAAAAGTTAATTTAAGAAAGGAAAAAGAAAGGAAACTAGATTTTTCAGACAGATCAATTATGGTATGAGTATACATGTGAAGAAGAATTAAAATGGAGCTGACAGGAGAGACAAACCTACTCACCACCTTTAACATGTGATGACAAGGTTATGTATTTGGAACCAGCAGGTTTGTAGTAAGTTAAGTGCTGCATGGGTTATAAGGAAAACAAAAAGATAGCTAATTGGTATGGTATGACCAAAATAGACATTATATAACCGAAGTATTTTTTAAATTAAGCACTGGTGAATGATGTATCTCTGCCCTTCTTAATAATCAAAGCCTGAAATAAATCTAATTACAGTGTATTTAGCTGCTTCTTGGCAACACAGGGTTTTTGCGAGTGTTGAACGTTACTGTAAACAGGATTTTTCTTTTTTAAAAAAGCAATCCAATCCACTGGTAGCTACAGAGATCCCAAAGAGACACTAATAGGACAAACGGGAAGGAAATTGAAATGACAGACAACTGAGAACATTTCCAGCAGCAGCATCACCCAAGGATTTTAAAGCTGCTCTGCTGCGAGCACAGAGCTTGCTCTAGCTGGTTTAAGAGGAAAATATAGTTGAGGGGAAAGAAAATGGGACAGGATGCATCCCCAAGCTGCCCTCTGCTTGGTGTCGAGAGGATCATCCCTCAGCTCATCCTGAGGGCCATCCAGAGAAGGGAAGGGAAAGGAGTTAAATTCCCCTCTCTGTGAGTGACAAGTGCTGCCTCATTTACTTAACCTCAGATAATCAGAATTCACATTTGCCAAATCCACAGGTATGAATTCTAAGCTGGTATTTCCCCATTGCTCTCAAGCTGCTTCCTTTTGGGGACGGGGATATACAGCTCAGTGGCATAAGTGCTTGCCTGGCAAGCCTGAGGTCATGAGTTTGATTCTTGGTATGTGCGGGGGGGATATATGCTTCCTTTCAAAAGGAGATCGAAACAACAGGATAGGCAAAGTTTCTGACTTGTCTTTCTCTCTTTTTACACTGTTTACTACTGATGGATTTCCTTTTAACATCTAAATCTGTGGAGCACGCTACACATATATTACATAACTTTACCCAACTATGGAAGAATCAATTTCTTCTTAAAAGCTGTTCCCAAGTTGATTTGAGGAAGTGTATTAGTCCTCAGGCATAGGAATCTTCTGTTTTTAAGTATAGAAGAATTAAAAATTCCTTCCTGGACTTAACATCTAACACAATCAATCCAAGAAGAGCACCATCAGTTCCACTAGCTCAGGTCATCAAAGCAAAATACGAAGCATCAGAAGTGTGTGAACCTGTCCTCCCCCACGGAGCGGTCCTTGACTCTTCTATGGCAGAGACTCATTCTAGTTTCCAAAATGCGTGGGAAGAGTTCCAATGAGTTATGTTGGCCCCACAAAAGGTTACTTTTAAAGTTGATCTGATTTTAAACTCTTTAGCCAAGGGCTACGAACATACTAGTATTTCTGTTTACCATGTGAAGCTTGATTGTTTTTTCGGGTAGAGTCTGGAACTGCTTTGGATATAAAATATCTAAATTTTGAAATATCCTCATGCATATCAAAGAAGAATGTAAGAACCTTAATATTACCCCATAATGCTTATTACAGATATAGGAATGGATAAAAGTCTAGATCTGTCGGTTTTTATAAAAACATTGTGGGATAATAAGCAGATTATATTCAGTTTTTCTTGGATGCTAGTACAATTTTCTAAATATTAAATATTAACACAGTATTCCATAAAATGAGGAACTTTCTTCCATCTCCTTCTGTAAATACAAGCATCCGACACTGCCGTACTCAACCACGCAAAGGTTCCTTCAGTATTTCATTTTCTTTGGTGTATTCCTCGGGCAGTCAGTTTTTAGTATCAATCAGTTTTTTATTTGTGGCTATGACTCTAATTTAAATATCATACTTTTCAAACAGGAATATGTCTACTCACAGGCATGTTGATTATCTGTTAAAGACTTTAAGTCTAAAATATCAATGATCAGAAATGTGAAACAGGCAAAATTCAAAACAGTCCCCAAACAGTAAAAGTCCATGAAATTCCCCGCTATAACACTGAGAACAAACAACTACAGTTTGATCCCATACAAGATATATGTCAAATAGTTTGCCATTGTGAAGACATACAAGGGCTAAATCTCACTTCTGGAAATAGATATTGTTGGAAAGACAGCTGAAGATTAGCCACATGAAAAATTTCATGTACATCACTAGAATTTTTTTTAATTTAAAAGAAAAGTTGGTTCTTGGAACAATTCATTGGAAAATAGTGAAGTCATAAATTGTTTGTAGCTTTCTTCAGGGTCAGTTTTATGAAGATGTTTGGAAGTTAAAGCTCAGTCAAGACAACATTTGGTGAAGCCCTGTGGTATAGAAGTGAATTATTCTGGTTTGGATTGAAAGAGATAGTCAAGCAAAAAGTCAACCATGCCATGAACTAATACAGTTGAAGCTATTTAACAGACACGTGAAGGATGGTTGAGGGACCTTCCGGGCAGCTGGGAGGTTTTTACATTAATGGCAAGTCCACATAATGGTCTTCGGTTATTGTTTATGATGTGGTTTGTGAAAGCTCATCACATGCAAAATACGCAGTTACAAATATCTGATGAGGCCATTGTCAACAGGTACAGTATCACTGTTCCATGCTATCATTCACACCAAGAGTGGTGTTTACGTCTCAAAATACAGCAACGGCGGCCGACATTGACAGTGGCAACCTGGATAGAGGCTGCAGACTGTTCGGCTGTTGCACTGTTTCAAGGGAGACCAACACACTCTTTTGAAAAAGAAAGGAGTAAACACAGCCAGTGGTTGAATATTCTACTTTTCAATAACACTGACCAAAAGTGCCTCCGGAAGTCTGCTTCATTCTCTGGTTAAATACTAGCTGTGGGGATGAGGAACTAGCTATGAGCTAGGTCATAGCTCATGCTCTTAAATTTACTGTTGAAAAGTTGTTTTCCTTCATGGAGGAACAAGCATTCTTAAGAGAAAAGATTAAAGACTTGCACACGTATGGCGAATTATAGTGGCACCTCAGTTCACCAACTTAATTCTTTCCACAATTCTGGTCTCGAACCGAATTGGTGGCAAAGTGAATCAAATTTCCCCATAACGTTCCATGTCACCCAATGCAGGGTTCACAAACAGCAGCAAAATTTTGCTAACTGCTTCTGTTTGTGAACCAAACTGTTCATAAATAGAAGCATTTGTGAACTGATGTGCTACTCTATTTTATTATTCACAGGTAAACATACTGAGGAAACATTTTTTTCCTACTGCGGAACTCCACCACTGTAAGGTAGAACTGATTACAATGAAAACATCTGAGAGCTACATAAGGAGCTTGGATCCAGAGGACAACGAGTTTTTGAGACAGTTTGTTAACCTGTGATGATGTGGTAATCATTTACAGGGTACTATTAGTGCTCAGAATAAACACTTTGGGTCCTCCACATTATAGAAGTAAGTTGGTCTCTCAGCAAAGAGAAATACTCACTGAAAAGTCTAACACTGGGGTCCTGAAAATGTAGTGTGAACCATTCCTTTGGCAACATCCCGGGCGTCTTCCCATATACAATACCCCGACAGTTACTTGCATGGGTTTATGTTCTGAAACACAGTACCAAGAAAGGGATGAACCTGCCTGGACTTAGAGCCAATTACTATGCAGTGTTAATGCTCTTTTTTATAAAAATAATTTTAAAAACATCCAAATAGAAGTGTTCCACTTTTTCCTTCAATAGTAACGCATATACAAGTATTTTTCTAGTAAGACAAATACATCTTCTGTGTACAGTGAAAACTCCACATGCATTTACAAAAAAACAGACATGACTAGCCTTTTTTGTCCTGTTTGGGGCTCCATCCCCAGGGTTCCAGTTCATCTAAGTCTGTGGTTAAGGTCACATAAGAGGAAAGGGTTGGAAGCGCTGTCCATATATTTGATAGGAATATTATGGTACTGACAAAGTACAACCCAGCTAAATGTGAAACAGAGAGCCCAAAGATCCAAGCAGGACAGAGGAAAAGTCCTTTTCACCCACATTCTCCATTTACCACCCCTGCACACTGTGCTTTCCAAAGAGCAGATCCATCCAGCCCAACCCTATCCCAGCAACACAGCCACTATGAATGCTACCTTCCACTTTTAAGCTACATGGAAGTCTGAATTAAAAGACTGAAACAAAACACACACATAAGCAACCACGATTACTACGATAAGTTAAACATGTTCACTAGTTATGTTTTGTTATTACTTTATTAGTATATGTTTCTAGTACCTAGTGTTTACATTCCTTGGGGAAGTTGGTAAATGTACATAATACATTTTATTTCCTTTTTGCATTCTCCTTCCATTTCCTCCCTCGTCCTCCATCTGTTTCTTTTTTTTCCCATCCATTGCTTGATCCTCTTCCTTTTTTGTTACATGTTTATGATACATAATGTTTCCATTCCTTGTGGGAAGTTGGTATGTGTACATAATGTGTTAACAAACTTGAGTCATTTGTAGGAAAATGGACGCACCTTCAGACCATAATAGTAAGTGAAATAAATAAGACACACAAGCTTCAGTATCACATTGTTTCTCTCATTGGAGAAACCCAAAGTGTAAGTTAAGAGCAAAATAAAAGACAGCGAATAAGAAGCAGGAGACAGATCTTTCTCAAAGCAGAAGGGAATCAAGAAATGCTTATAAGTGGTTTGATCCATGTGATCTTATCAAAGCTGAAAAACCTCTTGAACCTAAACTGAATCTAAACCTAATAAAGGCACCTACCTTACAGAAGAAGGCTGAGGCTTATGTGACACTCTTCCTGCGTGTCAATAAACATGACTATTATTAACCAAGTCTTCAGTGGGTTGGGTACAGGGCCAAATGCTATTGATGGGCTCAGAAGTAAAAGACATCTTTGCAGACATCAAGGATGTTACTAATGTCCTTGTTACTGACATCTTAGCTAAAGCGGTGATAGTAACATGCAAAAAACAGCAGGAGTATGAAGCCATATGATGCAAATAGGGTTGGTGGGCTTGGTGAGTTCAAGGTCTTGGTCTCGTTGGACTTACAGCTTGACCTGTAACCATTTACCACAGGGTTAGAACATCTGACTGCTGACTTTGCAGGGCTTTTAGGAGAGTCAAAGAATTAGTGTAAGTGAAACTGTTCTGGGTGGTACAGAATTCTCAAGCGTGTCTTTAATTATTACTATGATTGCCACTAACTATAATCAGGTGTTCTGCTATGGTGACCAAGCTGGAGGACACACAAGTTGAATAAAGAAGCAAGTGAGCAAGAAAGAAGTTGCAGAATCTTTCATGGATTTGGCCAGCTTTGGGTTGGGGCCTGAAGACTAAGACGAGATTTGCGTGAGTGAATATGACTAAAGTGATCCCAGGCGGAGTCACAGATAAGCAAGTTCGGGATGCTGTGCCTGGTAAGAGGGAAAGGTGAGGAAGAGAAGGAGCGGGAAGACGAGCGTGATTTCACTGTGGGTGTGACACTAGGTGGACTTTCCAGGCCAGGAACACAGCCTAGATGTGATATGCTGGGACCACGGAACTGCTGGACAAGTGGATTTCTCTAAAATGGGTCTTTGACATAACTAGGATTAACCTAGCATTTCCATAAACATACTGCCTCTTTCTCTCAACTTTTTCTCTTTTTCTTCTTCCCTTTATGTGTGTGGAAAGGAGAAACACTGGAGATTGAACCCAGGGCCTTCCCACTGAGATATCTCTCCAGTCCTTTTCTTATTTTTTTATTCTGAGATAGGATTTCACTGAGTTGCTCAGGCTGGGCTCAAACTTGGAATCCTCCTGCCTCAGCTTCCCAGAGTGCTGGGATTCTAGGCCTGCACCATCACACCTAGTTTTCCCTTTTCTTTTTTACTTTTTTCTTAGAATTGCACCAGATCACAGTACAGCTGAACAGAGATATAAAGCAGTGAACCTTTAAGCACTTTTAATCCAAGCAGTAGATAAGCCAGGGTCTCCTGATACTGCTGGACACCAGTTGCTGAAGTGAAATGCCAAACATTTCCTCATTTTGGAAAATGTTCAACAGTCTACATAGGGAACAAAATCAAAACGTGAAAAACTGAATAAAAAACACTCCTTTGGAAATAAAATACTGCTCAGCTTAAGTAAACTGATCTCATTCTGGGGACTAGAAAAGTATTATCAGCAATGATATAATAGCTAATACATATTGAGCAGGTGCCAAGTACAGGAATGTTCCACTCCTCTTCCAAAACAGAGAGGAACACTACAGTTATCCCCATTTTATGGACAGAGAAGCTAAGGCCTGTGGTCGTGGGGTAGTGAATTCCAGGGTGAGGGCTTTACTGGCTGTTCCACCTAAGCCAAAAGATGGAACCCATGGTGATGACCGAGTGTAACAAATAAGAACCTTTGTTATCAATCAGCTTTGAAAACTATACTAAGCCAGGCGTGGTGGTGCATGCCTGCAATCCCAGCACTCAGGAGGCTGAGGCAGGAGGATCGCTGCAAGTTCGAGACCATCCTGGGCTACAAAATGAGCTCAAGGCCAGCCTGAACTGCATAGCGAGACCCGTCTCAAAAAGACAAAAAAAAAAAAAAAAAAAAAAAAAGAAAACTATACTAAATATCCAATGGTAAAAAGACAAATCATAAATAACTACTCAACAAATCCCTTTCATATATGCAAAGTGATTTTTTCTTTTGGGTACCGGGAATCGAGCTTATGACCTCACACTTGCCAGGCAGGCGTTTGCGCCACTGGGCCATATCCTCAGCCCTGCAAAGTGATTTTTCAAGTGGAGAAAAGATTATCCTAAATTCTTCTAGCCCTATGGAAAGGAGATTCCGCCTAACAAATTCATTGTATCTAGAAACTACTCTCTGTGCTGCATTCCTATCAGTCAAATGCTAACTGTATTTACTAAAGGGCTCTGCAAGGGTAAACGTGCAGTAAATATTTAATAAAATAAAAATCATTTTTGCAATCCGAGCAGTCATTCAATAATTTATCTGTTTTGTAAATTTGGATTTATAGCAGACTCTTGACATTCCTGAGGCATACATCCGGAACCTTCTCAAATTCCCAGATTCCCAAATACAAAAATGTTTATAGAGGCTCCCAGCTTTCTCTTGAATCACATTTCCATGGAGGGTTATATGCATTTCCTGCTCACAGCCTTACGCCGCGCACCATAAGCTCACGGTACTTCCAAATCCCACTGAACGTTTATCTCTCACTTGACGGCCATTCTTCCGACACAAGGCAATTTTAATTAGTTAACAAACGCCGTCACATATGCACAAATGAGCAGAGAACCACTAAGCTAAATGACCCTCTTCCCAGCATGTTATCTTGCAAAACAGATTCTTCAAGTCCACCTCGACGCCAAAGTATGTGCTACAGACCCACAGGGGAACTCTTGCTACTCACACACCTGCGAGCTGAACCCATGGACACCTAGAGTCCAAGAACACTGATTAGGTGTGCTTGGGCAGGCACCTGGGGCACATCTGTCGCAGCCACAGAAACTCCACTGGTCTCGCTGTGCCAAGAGGCACAGAAGTCACTCGAGTCTTTCGGTGACAAGTCCAGAAAGTGTGATTATAAAAACTATCATTACAAGAATACACCTACTCATTCCAAATACCTGGACTTGTGCGGCTGGGGTTGATAAAAATCAAAGTTGGATGACTTCACTGTCTGCAGTAATGGAGCCCAGTTTCGACTGTCAGACGGGCCCAGAATCACAGCAGCTGGGCCTGCTTGCAACACCGTCCTAAAACTCAACCCTCATGCTGGGTTTGGAGCCTCTCATCTCACCCCTCTGAAACAGGACTAGCCCTGAAAGATACACAGGGGAGAGGCCAAGAGTGTGTGAAAAAGGAAGACAAAAAGAAGCAGAAGGAAAGGAAAGGAGGTAGAGAAAGAATGAAGGGAGAAATGCAGAAAAGAAAATTAAAAAGGGACGAGAGCAGGGATGAAAAAGGATTTTAGCTGCTGGTGAAAACAAAATATGTTATGATTTCAAAACCTACAGCGTACACATCTCAGGATGGACTTAAAATCACTACTACCGAAGGTGCCCATTATTTATTTATTTATGCCCCTTTTATTCCAAAGAGGTTTCGCAGCGTTTTTCTGCCAGATTGTTTTTCCCGACGCGCTGGCTGCTGTGATCATGTTACACGCTGCCCCCCCTTTCCTTGCTGCCTATAAAGTGAAGTCTAATTTCCTCAGTCTCCTCTTTGAGGCCCTCTGTGACCTGGCCCCAAACTTCCAGGGTAGCCTTATCCGACACTTTTCTTTATAAACTGCTGCCCCAGCCAGAGTGCCC